ATATATATATATATATATATATATATATATATATATATATATATATATATATATATATATATATATATATATATATATATAAGGCGACGTCGTCTTTTCCTTCTCCCACGCGGTGTCACGGTCTTAGCTGGAATTGCCTAAGGCGTGAGGCACCCTTGTGGCCAAGACGCGAACTAGCTTGCGTTACCTAAGTCGCGCTTCGTCCTTGCAATATTGCTCCGCAAAGAACAGCCCACTTGCAACATCTCGCAGGTCCCGAAGGACCTGTAAAAGAGAAAGTTGATTAATTCGAAAGAACGCGCAACAGACAAGTCCCGAAGTCTCGCAAAAAGGGGAAGCTTTACAAGCAATTCAGCGAGCACCTTGCGTGCACAAGAGAAAAAAGGGAGACGGGGAAAACAAGGGCTTTAGAAGGTTGAACGAACAGCTGCAAGCCCACAAACAGCTGCTCACCGAGTCCCGGGCGCGACAACAAGTTCCCGTCAAGACAACGTGCGAACTTGCGAAGGAGTGTTCAACGCCCGATACTATACCGAAGCCCCATCCAACCCTGTGCCACCCGGGGCGTTCCAAGTGGCTGAGATGGCTGACGTTTTGGTGAGCGGAGGCAGATTCCAGAAATCAACCCGCGGCACACGAAAACAGAGCTGTTTTGGGGTTGTTTTGCTCGGTTCGGTGAGCGGTCGCTTTGTAACGCTGCAGCTTGTTCGAACTTACATTTTTACAAGCAAAATGGCCCAAAACCAAGAGAAAACATGCTGTCAAGCAGCTGTACATATAGGTGTGAGCGACGAACGGTTTATTGAACGGAGTTGTTGCGAGTGCGCGACGACCGTTCGTGACATTCTCCCCCACTTAAACTATCGACGCCCTCGTCGACGCTTGTTGGTAGTTATTGATGATTGCTTCTTCATGTCGTAGGGCGTCTTCAGGCTCCCAACTAGCTTCAGTTTGGGGAAGCTTTCGCCACTTCACCAAGTACTCTGTCGGCTCAGCTCCATTGGGTAGCTTTATCTTACGGTCCGCCAGAATGGTTTCAACTCGCTTCTCGTAGGAGGCAGTGGTGAGAGGTAGCCGAGTTGGAACACTTCGGGAAGCATCTTGCGGATCTGAGTGGTAGGCTTTTAGGTTGCTGGCGTGAAGAATGTTGTGAATTTTGAACCACGCCGGCAGCTGCAACTTGTAGGAGACGTTGCCTAATCTGCTAATAATTGGGAAGGGCCCTTCATACTTGCGCACCAATCCTTTGTGGATTTTGTTCCTGAAGAATTGGAGTGATGCTAGTTGGAGCTTTACCAACACCAAATCGCCGACCTTGAACTCTTGCGGTCGCCTTCCTAAGTCTGCCCACTTCTTCATTCTTCTTGCCGCCTTCTCCAAGTAAGCCCACGCAATATCTGCATTTCAGTGCCACTCCTTTGCGAAGTGGTAAGCTGACGGACTACTCCTAGTATACCCAATTGCCATGGTGTGAGGAGTTGACGGTTGTTGCCCTGTAATAATCTCGAAGGGGCTCTTGTTGGATGCAGAGCTCCATTGCAAGTTGTAGGAGAATTTGGCAATGTCCAACAACTTCACCCAATCTCGTTGGTTAGCACTCACGTAGTGCCGAAGATATTGCTCCAAGAGCGAGTTTATTCTTTCAGTCCGGCCATCCGTCCAGGGGGTGGAGGCTTGTGGAGAAGTATAACTTTGACCCCAACAATTTGAATAGCTCGGTCCAGAATCATCCCAGGAACCGAGCGTCTCGATCACTGATCATATTGTCCGGGACTCCCCAATACTTCACCACATCCTTCATCATCAGCTTGGCCGCCTCTTTTGCTGAACAGTGTAGGGGAGCAGCAATGAAAGTTGCATACTTTGAAAACCGATCGACAACCACGAGTATCGACCCGAGTCTCCCTACAAGTGGCAAGCTTGATATGAAGTCCAAGAAAATGCTCTCCCACGGCCTTTCTGATACGGGCAACGACTCCAAAAGTCCCACCGGCTTCCGTTGTTCCGCCTTGTCTTGTTGGCAAGTGAGGCACGTTCGAACATATTCCTCCACATCAATCCCCATCTTCGGTCAATAGAAGGCCCTCTCCACGAGAGCCAACGTTCGGTGAATACTTGGGTGCCCAACCCAAAGGGAATTGTGACACTCTTTTAGGAGTTCACGCCTCAAATTGTCCACCCGAGGAACATAAACCATATTCCCTTTTGTGTACACGAGTCCCTCCCGGACCCAAAATCGTCGGGGCTTGCCTTCTTTGATGAGCTGCATCAGGATGACTGCCTAGGGGTCACTATACAGTCCATCCTTGATCCGGGAAAGGAAGTTGGAGTGCAACTGACTTGCTTGGCCTCTACCCTCCAGTTGTACGACATTCACGCGTTCCACTTTCCGACTCAGCGCATCGGCCACAACATTCGCCTTCTCGGGCTTGTACTCCATTGCCATATCAAATTCAGCCAGGAAGTCCTGCCATCGCGCCTGCTTTGGGGAGAGCTTCTTCTGAGTTTGGAAATAGCTCAGAGCGATATTGTTTGTCCTCAGCACAAATCGCGACCCGAGGAGGTAGTGTCGCCAAACTCGTAGACAGTGGATCACCGCTGTCATCTCCTTCTCATGCACTGGATACCGCCGCTCGGTCTCGTTAAGTTTGCGGCTCTCGTAGGCCACCGGATGACCCTCCTGCATGAGTACTCCCCCAATAGTGAAGTCTGAAGCGTCTGTATGGACTTCAAAGGGCTCTCCATAGTCCGACAATTTGAGCACCGGTTCTTCCAGAATAACAGCCTTCAGATGTTGGAATGCTATTTCACATTTGTCAGACCACTTCCAAGGCTGCTCCTTCAGCAACTCCGTCAGTGGAGTTGCACGCTTCGAATATCCCGCTATGAAGCGTCGATAGTAGTTGACGAAACCAAGGAAGGATCTCAACTCTAGCACCTTCTTTGGAGTTCGCCATTCTGCAACCGCTTGCACCTTCGACTTATCCATCCGAATGGAGCCATCACCGATTCGATGCCCCAAGAATAAGATCTCAGTTTGAGCAAAGTAGCATTTCTCCCTTTTCACGAACAAAGTGTTCTTCCTGAGAACCTTGAAAATTGTCCGAAGGTGTTTGACATGCTTCTCGAGCGTTTGACTGTAGACGACGATATCGTCCAAGTAGACGACCACGAAATTATCCAAATACTCCTTGAATAGCTGGTTCATGAGAGTGCAGAACGTGGCCGAAGCGTTGGTTAAGCCGAAAGGCATCACCAAGAACTCAAATGCTCCATACCTGGTCACACAAGTAGTCTTCGCTTCGTCGCCTTCAGCAATGCGCACCTGCCAATACCCCGACCGAAGGTCAAGCTTCGAGAAATACTTGGCTTTGCCCAACTGGTCGAACAAGTCCGCGATGAGCGGGATGGGATACTTGTTCTTCACTGTCACTTTGTTAAGGGCTCGGAAATCGACGCATAGTCGGAGACTCCCATCTTGTTTCTTCTGGAAGAGAACCGAAGCTCCGAAAGGTGCTTTAGAGCTGCGGATGAGACCACCGCTTAGCAGTTCGCCTAACTGCTTTCGGAGTTCTGCCAACTCTGGCGGGGGCATGCGGTAGGGTGGTCTCGCTGGAGGCTTCACTCCTGGCTCCAGCTCGATGTTGTGATCCACGCCCCTGCGTGGTGGAAGAGTCTTCAGCAACTCGGGTGGCATAACGTCATTGAACTCCTTCAGGACGTTCGCCACCACAGCAGGTTCTTGAATGGCCTTCTCGTCAAGTGGCTCTAGCTTCATCGCAGCCACGAAAGTTAATTCACCTTTTCGCACCCCTTTCTTTAGTTGCAACGCCGATATATGTTGCGGTTCCTTGGTTCCTCTCCGAGAGACAAGAACCACGCAGGGGTCGTCGTCTTCCATCATACACAAGGAGTTTAGGAACGGCATAGGCACCAACTTCACTGCGTGCATAAACTTCGTTCCAAGAATTACTTGGAAGTCATCCAGTGGCACCGCCATCATGTTGGTGTTCCCGCTCCATGTTCCGATCTTAATGGGAACTCCCTTTGCCAATCCGGAGATTCGCCTGGCCTTTGAGTTCACCGCCTTCATTCGACTTGGGCTTTTCTCCAAGATCAATCCAAGTCGCTTTGCTTCTCGATCGGCTATAAAGTTGTGGGTAGCGCCCGTGTCCACCATTGCACGAGTTGTTTGGCCATTGAGCTTGATGTCAACATACATTAGCTCGCCACTTCTTGCTTTTTGTTGCCTTGTCTTCAGGTTCTCCCCTACTTGACCCCACATGGCGTTCAACAAACGCATGGCTCCCATCCGTTTTGGGAGGGACTCCTCATCGTCGCTGCTGGCTTCAGAACTACTCGAACTAAGAGCGACAGCCTTGCCCTTGTCCGATTTGGGAGGGTGGATGGAAGCTGTTACCGCATTGAGTGCCTGTTTTTGTGGGCACTCCCTCACCATGTGTGGCCCTCCGCACAAGAAACATCTGCCAGGTTTCGGGGCCTTGCCTTTCGGGCTTGGCCCTTTGTGGGAACTCTTCTTCTTTTGTTCGCCCCCGAGCTCTTTCCCTCGAGAATGTTTTGGAGGGCGATTGCCTGAAGATTGTTTCCTTTTCCCTGGGTCTTCGGAGGAAACAAAGTCGGTGAGCCTTTCTGCAGCAGTAATTGCCCCGACAACATCGGTGACATTCCTTCGATTTAGTTCCTATTGAGCCCATGGCTTCAAACCATCGAGGAAGCTGAACAACTTGTCCTTCTCGGACATGTCCTGTATGTCCAGCATTAGTGCAGAAAATTGTTTCACATAGTCTCGAATGGTGGTACTCTGGCGGAGTTGTCTCAATTCTTGCGACGAACTCTGTGTTCTCCGGTGGGAACTGAGTTCTCAACTCCCGCTTCAAGTCTTCCCATGTGTCAACCCGACACCGACCTTGTTGGATCTCCTCCCAATGAGTTCGCCACCAAAGTTTCGCATCTCCGTTCAGATACATTGTTGCTATAGAAACTTTAGTATCTTCATAATCGGGCCTCGTAGCTCGAAAGTATTGTTCCATGTCGAACAGAAAATTCTCGAGCTCTTTAGCATCTATGGCCCCTCCATAACCATGAGGCTCGGGTGCCCTCAAGTTTTGTGGTGGTGCAACGCGAGTGTTGCTTCCTCCCGCATTCAGTGCTCTTATGAGCATAGCCACCTTTGAAGTGAGTTCCGCCACAACATCCTGTAAGTGTCATCAGACAGTCGGTCGACTAGGGCCTCGACCTTGTCGATCCTTGACTCTGCTTCCTCTTGCGAGCTCTCTACCCCAACAAGCCTTTGTTGGCCATGGTAGAGTTCCTCCATGCTCGCTTCAAGAACATCCAAGCGGGTTTCCGCCGTTGTGAGTCTCTCCTTGTGACTCTTTTTTCCAGTTGGCGCTCCAGATTGCGCCTCCTCCGCTCGCGGAGAGTAGCCAACTTCTCGCTCATCATGTTCGCTGCCGCGCTCCTCTTGAGCGGCTCCAATAGCCTGAGAGCGAGTGTGCACATGCAGCCCACCTGCGGCTGCTTGGGGCAAGGGTCCGGCTTGCCCTGTCTTGCTTGATTCGCCACGATGCTTTGCCATGGCGAAGTTGCGAAGTTCCTTCGCTGCTCGCTCGAAGTGCTTGCCCGCTCTGATACGACAATGTCACGGCCTTAGCTGGAATTGCCTAAGGCGTGAGGCACCCTTGCGGCCAAGACACGAAATTAGCTTGCGTTGCCTAAGTCGCGCTTCGCTCTTGCGATATTGCTCCGCAAAGATCAGCCCACTTGCAACCTCTCGCAGGTCCCGAAGGACCTGTAAAAGAGAAAGTTGATTAGTTCGAAAGAACGAGCAACGGACAAGTCCCGAAGTCTCGCGAAAAGGGGAAGCTTTACAAGCAATTCAGCGAGCACCTCGCGTGCACAAGAGAAAAGAGGGAGAGGGGGAAAACAAGGGCTTTAGAAGGTTGAACGGACAGCTGCAAGCCCACAAACAGCTGCTCACCGAGTCCCGGGCGCAACAACAAGTTCCCGTCAAGGCAACGTGCGAACTTGCAAAGGAGTGTTCAACGCCCGGTACTATACCGAAGCCCCATCCAGCCCTGTGCCACCCGGGGGGTTCCAAGGGGCTGAGATGGCTGACGTTTTGGTGAGCGAAGGCAGATTCCATAACATCTCGCAGCACACGAAAACGGAGCTGTTTTGGGCTGTTTTGGGGCTATTTTGCTCGGTTCGATGAGCGGTCGCTTTGTAACGCTGCAGCTTGTTCGAACTTATATTTTTACAAGCAAAATGACCCAAAACCAAGAGAAAACATGCTGTCAAGCAGTTGTACATGTAGGTGTGAGCGACGAAACGGTTCGTTGAACGGAGTTGTTGCGAGTGCGCGACGACCGTTC